ACTGAGACGGTGAACCCCACCAGCCGGCAAAGTCGTAGACAATCCAGTCTTTGGGACAGGCTAACAATTAATATCCTTAATTTTTTTCGATAATTTTTTTCGATTGGCTAAGAAATAATACCCTAAATTATTACGATCAATCTTTAGTGTCCAATCCATATCAACAAAATGGTATTTATATAAATATTTTTCGGAAAAAGAAAAAGGGACCGAAAAGTGCAAATCAAGTTGGCTCTTGTCACTCCCAATGAAAGTTCCTAACTTGGACTTTCGATCATTCCATTTAGGAACTTATGCCAAAATAAGTTCACGTGGACTACACCGTGGAACCTATGCCAAAATAATCCACTATTTGGCTAATAATTAGTTTCTATATATGTTTATTCTAATTTAGGTCCTTGCAGGATGAACATTATTTAATAGTGTATAAATACAAATTAAGAGTACTTCCAAGTTTGACTAACCATAACTAATTAAGCTAAACAAAAGATTTCGATCTACATCCTTCACGTGCACTAGATTCGTTGCGCTAAAACCCAAAACCAACTCATGCTAAACCATTTTTGAGTTCCTATCTCTCGCGCTCTCTCAAAGTTATAAAGACCGAGTTTTACAAGAGAGTGGGAATCGCTACAAAACCCTAATTGTAAGACCGACTTACGTTATCTTATCTTATTTGAACGAGTTATTTCAATGTAATCTACCGATTCAAAACCATCTGAAATCTTTTCGGAAGTCAACTTACGACCATGTCGATTATGTGTTAATCTTTGCGCGGACCCTTGTCGAGTGAAAACATTTGCAAAAATCTCTGTAGATCAGCCCTTTCTTAGTAAATATAGATATACACTATGGTGGATGAAAATTCTTATAAATCTCACGTAATAAAACAACGCACAATCGTGATCAGACTACGCCAGTCTCCAGCAACAAAAGGGGCGATTGATTGAATTCGTCAATGTCTCGCTAACACGTCGCCCGAAATGAATACTGTTATGTCTTCTCATTGATTAATGTAACTTTACATGGTCCCCAATTCTCGGTGACTTTTGCTTATAAATGAAATGGTCGTAAGTTTGATCGTTTGGGTGTGCTTAGCGGATTGAACTAAGTTATTTGATGTGTTTATTTGCACGTAACGTGCTCGAGTCAGACGAAAAAGATGACGTGTCCGAGACCTAGTCGCGATAAGATGACGTGTATATGAACATGAACTTTAGTATATGGACTTTGACGAATATTTAATGCTAATCAACATTGCTATCCAATTATTGACGTAGGAGTAGAAAATAGGACACGTGGCAAAGCGTGGAAAGGAGTAAGCGACCATGCAAAAATGGATGGGAGGGACACGTGGACAATGAGAGTCCACGGGAATTTGTGAGACCAACAAGCCAGCAACCGTCGAATAAATTTATTAAAAGATAGAGTTAGAGATATTAAGAATGACGTACCAAAATGAATTTATAAGTAACGAATTGATTTCATGAGCTATATTGACTTATACAGTGCTACCGATTCATTAATGATCGAGGATTGGCCCTCCCGCCGACTTCATTACTTGTACTTTTTATTCTCGATTTGCGCAAACTCGGGTGTTTATTCATTTTTCATATAGATTAACGAGGGTTCTTGACTAATTTGTTGGCGAGCGCTTCGATTCAGGTGTATGTATCCAGCATATTACATGATTTTTCACTCGTCGATTATATTTGGTGGGTCTCGAATTCTGATACACGACACTGAATGTGAAATAAGATGTAGTTAGTGACATGATGTCTCGACACTATCCATATCGTCTCCCGCACCAATCTAATTTATAGTCTAATATTAATTCCTGGTAACCGTAGGAGCAATCCTTAGACTGCGAGACAGTAATCAGTGACAGGATGTCTCAATGCTTCTCAATGCTATTCTTATCGTCTCCCACATCAATCTAACTTGTAGTCTAATTTTGCTTGTAACCCTAGGAACAGTCTGTACTTGTTATGGTGCAATGTATGTGTTTGGCCTAGTAGAATGGCATTAGATAAAATTAAACATATTGTCCTTCTCTTGGAGGGACAACCACTGCATCCTCATTTTAATCAATCCGGGAGAAATTATTCCATTCTTATGCTGAAAGTTTTGCGGGCCTTTTCTATTTTCAATCCCCTCTGATCTTGTTATTACTTGCGGTTGATTAGCAATTAAATTAATCGAGGGATTTGCTGTTCTAGTAGCCAACACTTGCTGCGAAACTTCACCAGTTGGGTCCTCCCCCCACCCAACAGATCACGAGTGAAATTTTCAACCAAGTTGGAGCAATATTTTAATCTTTAATTTAAGGACAAGACAAGATAGATCTAGGTTTAAACCTTTTTAAATTTCCTTTCATTATCCTCTTTTACCTCCCATTTTGGTATTTTTTTTTTTACCGTCTTCTGTCTTTTTCTCTAATTTTTATGTGGTGTGGACCCTTTATTCATCTTTTCATACGTTTTGAGAACACCCATTACTACTCAAGCACACCTTTATCTGTGGTTACTCTAAACCTGATTCGGGTGTGGACTTGATCGACTGAGTGATACTATAACAATTATATATTTTCTATCGGTTGTGTGACATATAAATCGTTTTTCATGAAAACTTAAACCGCTAGAAAATGTGTCGCTAGTGTACTTGTCGAAATTCCTTAACACTCCCGCTCGAGAGTAGCTGGTCCTGGGCATTGCTAGTATAACAGTCTTTGAGCTACTGTTAGAATAATATGTTGTGAGCTACAAATTTTTAAAGAAGTAGATCCCATAATAATTTCTAATTATTTGTTATTTATTTTTTTGTGGCCCAAAACACGTTGTTATTCTCATAGTAGATTCAGGACAGTCACATAAACATTTCTCTAGGCAAAATATTGAGAGAGAGAGAGAGAAAGCATCAGAATACAAACCCTATACCTATTGCCGGTACCATGCCACTCTTAAAACTATTAGAAGATGTGTCAATTAACACTTTCGATATTATGTATTTACTTTTTAATGCAATTAGTTTCGGTCAAAATAGGTCATCCAATAACGTGACAGGTAAGGAGACATGCAACGCGAGACTCTCACTTTTTTCCCTATATTTTTCTTTACATAAAGTTATGCAATTGAAAAAAGAACCAAACATCAAGCTTTGACTGAATTGTGAGTATGCAAGTCTCTATGCAGGGGCTATTTGCATACCTAAATTGCGGTATGTGAATACTTATAAGAATCTAATGAGCCCGTGCCCTAACATGCATCGAATTGCTAACAATTCCAAGACAATGGAGACCAAGACATAAAGCACACAACTCGAGATGAAAAATCAATTTGATAATTCATTTCCATCTTATCCCAGACAAGGACTCGACAATTTTTTTTTCTAGATTTTTATTTGGTGCTATGGTGCGACAACATTAGATATCCACGTCACGTTATAAATTCAAAAATTCCCTACTGTGAGGGAAATGGGAAGGCCACATCATCCTTGCGTTTCGACGATTATTATATTTATTTTCGCTATAATTATTTTGTACATTATTTCAATATTTTATGCATATAAAATGGTATTTATTTTATTTTTTCGAAAAAGAGAAAAAGGGAACCGAAAAGTGCAAATAAAGTTGGTTCTTGTCACTTCCATGAAAGTTCCTAACTTGGGACTTTTGATCATTGTACTTGACCAGTTGTGCTGATTCACGTGGACTACACTGTGGAACCTATGCCAAAATAATCCACTTTTGGCTAACTATTATTACTTTCTATATATTTATTTTTAATAGTGAATAAATACAAATTAAGAGCACCTCCAAGTTTAACTAACCATAACTAATTAAGCTAATTAATTCGACTAATTCTTCACGTGCAATGGATTAGAGTAGCTGAAACCCGAAACGGGGCTCATGCTCAACAAATTGTCTTCCTCTAATCGTGTTTTTCTCTTGGGATCCATCGTATTGAAATATGTCTCGAGTTTCTGGTCAAAATTAAAGGGCGTGACGCCTCGCCGACCATAGAACAATTTGGGACCAAAAGGGCGAGAAGATCAGTGTTCGGTGCTCAAAGGAGCTAATTGAAAGTATAACCAAGAACGGGCCACCGTTATCTTTTTTGTCCAAATGATACGAAGTGACAGATGACGCAGCTAACAACCCCGACGTATTGACGTGATACATCGACGCGACGCTTTTTCTTATGAAAAATTAATATAGAGTTGTCGGTCTTTAAATAAAAATCAGTTTTTTCGTATGAAAGAAAGGGTCCCACGCTATTTTTGACTAAACCTCCATTTTTGTAGAAAATTTTAATTTTTAATTCTCTGTCCTCCGTTTTTTTTGTTTCCCTCAATTGATTCCAAAACCACGCCCCAGAAAAGGCCATGATCAAATCTGAAAAAGTTCAAACATCCCACCACAAGAATGCAAAGAGCCATCGATTTGTAAACGCCCAAAAGAAAATATAGAGACTGGTCTCCTCCAGCTTTCTTCTACTCCTTTTGCGTTAGAAATGTGGAAAGTGAACCAGAAAGTTGCAGAGACAATGACCTTCTGGACCCAGAGAATCCGACCGTCGCAACTGCAGCGCTCAGACTCGAGCAATACCCAAGCTGATGCATTGGACAAAGCCTGTCACCATGCAAGCTTTGCTCTGACAACTAGGGATCTCCCACGGCCTCGGCCACGCGACCCAATCTAGTCCGGATCCGAGGTCGTCGGACCTCATCTGGACCAGATCTGAAGCCACAACCGTTGCCGACCTTTGATCCAATAGTCATGACGACGGGGATGCAATCGGAGAGGGGCAACAATCACTATCCTTTTAAAATCCAAGATTCTATGTTCGAAGATTTTAACAATTCAAAATGTTGGATCGGCGTCATTAACCACACCTCAGCTGCCACCTAGGATTGTTTGGACCGAAAAGATAACGGCCACCATTTTAATCCCTCGATTAAAGAATACGTGATCTCTCTATTATTTTATTTTTTTTCAGATATTTGAAAAGCGAGACCATTTTTTCCTGTATAGCAAGACTTGGGGAGTGTTGTGAGGTGTGACCATATTTTACAAGGGTCTGCTACTTCTGCTACGTAAACATTCCAAAACTACTATCTACCTTGTGAGAGCAGATAAAAACTGAGCCAATCATCGGATGCGAGAAGACATTACCGCACTACTCAGAAAGCAAAGTCTTCCTCGTCTGCACCGATTTGGATTACTCTGTCTCCCATCTCTCGAATAGCCACCGCGGTCGAGTCGCTGATGCCGAGCAGATACTGCAATCTGGATAGTTTCTCTGGAGCAGGCTCGCTCTTCATGTATATAGCAAATAAGTCGGCCAGCTCTTCCGGGACTTCCCACGACAGCGGATTTGCGGGTACAGCTTTGTCGCAAGCGAGCAGATCGTTAAGCGAGGAAACCTGCAGGAATGATTGATTGTGGCTTACTGATAATGTAAAGCTTAGCATCCGGACTCTTTCTAAAGTAACTCGGTCCACAAGACAAATTGGTAAAAAGTAGAGAGTGAAAAAGGACTTCTTATCTCCATACCGCTCCTTTTTGGTTCCTTTGTCGTAACAAGGCTACAGCCTGAATAAGCGAATTTGACAATCTACTTCGAGCAAGCTCGTGAACCACCTCCCTCGCTTTCTCAGCATTAATATTCAGGTCTGCTGGGATTTTCTCATAGACTTCCTCCTCATCAAATTCACCGGTCCCGGCAGAGAAAATTTCATCCACGGTTTTCTTGAAGAGGTTCTCCCGCAAGCTCTCAGATATCATGCTGTCCAAATCTACGCTCGCCTCCTTGAGTTCTCTTATCTGCTTTATGTTGAGCCTCCCCTGACTGACGGCAGTTTCTATTGCAGCTGCCATTTTTGTAGTTGTAATGCTCTTGATTACTTTCTGAGCATATTGTGGAGGCAAGCCAACTTGCTTCTGCACCTCATTAAGCTGCTCAATCCTAGCTTTTGTCAGCTGACCATCAGCCAGTATCACCTCTGCTTGTTGCCTGAATGCCTGCTCAGCAAGACTTCGGTGAACTTCCACAATCTCCTTAGGGGTCAAACCAAGGATACCACGGAGCTGGTTTAGCAGTACATATTCAGAGTCATCCTTTTTTGTTGTGATTTGCGCCCCGAATGGGATATTGGTGACTTCTCCTGTTAGGCAGAACAGCAGATAGGTTTTATAGAGGTCAGTCCTATCCCTCTCTGGAAGATCGTCTTTCAGATTGATCTCTGTTTGGCCTTGCTTTCCTAACTTGGCTGTAAGTTCTCTGCTGGGTCTTATCTTTCTAAGGGTCTGGAGGGACTCCCATTCCTCATCCTCTTCAATTTGTCTTTCTACCTCCTTAGCAGCCTCTTCGGATACAGTTTCAGGTGATTCCCCTTTTATGTCTGCCACCAGTTCTGTAACGACCAACGTATTGAAAGCAATCATCTTCTTAAGCTCCCTCGCAGATTCAGTACGATTCTGAGCTGCCCGTGCTCGTTTAATGTAATTTATGAAAATCTTTCTGACCTGCATAGTTATGAGACAGCAGAAGGTTATGATTGCCTGAAATAAATCAACCAATGTACTTCTTTTCGTCCTAGACAATACATAACCAAAAGATAGATTTTCAATCCTTGAAACAGTGCAAAAAAAAAATCCTTGAAACAGTGCAAGTTCATATGCTTGCTACATCAACTTGCATGCACAAGACTAATACAAATCTCAATAGCAGATTTTACGGCAAAATAGCAAGAAGTGCTAACCGATATGAAGGTCATTCAGATTTAGTCAGCTTTGTATGAATTCTTAGTCGGAACATTTATATCTCATCTGACCAGCGTGAACCTTGTGGAAAAAAGTAAGGTTGCTCCTCTGTGGCCTCCCAAGATGTATATCAAAGAAAAAAATACTTTCGATCTGGTTTTGCCACAAAATCTTTTCCTCAAAAGGATTGACATTCATTATATATGTAGCTACATACTCGAGCATGGGATCTGTCAGATCCCGCCCAAGGAGGAGAAGGTGGGCGTAGATGGCGACTTATATCTTGAGCATAGATTGCATTCATCCTCAAAAATTAAATGTATGACTCCCAAACAGTTTTATAGAGCACCTATCCATCTATGTCGGCATTGGTTATAAGTTTAACTTGTCCCAAGTATACTAATCTCTTTACAAGTTAAAAGCTCCTCTTGTAAAAGACAGCCATTTTTAAACTATATGGAGAAGCAAAGGCCAGCACATCCAATTAAATCACCGTAAAAATATCTTATCATCACTCACTTGCACATGCACCTCTCAAAACTTATTACCCCCATTTGGAATATCATCCTATAAGCATGACTTGAAAAGTCATTGCAAGTTATAAGACTTGAGTTTTAGATGAGGTGGATAATCGTACCATCATACTATACATAGAAAGTAATGCCATTTAAGATTGATCCCAAATTCTCTGCAACCATGATTTTATGCACTTAAGATACTAAAAGGAAACTCAGTACCATTCCTAGGTTGGTTAGTCGCACAAACACATTTGAAACATTCATATTGATGTCCAGTCACTCTCATCAATTTCCTGATGGAGAGAAAGTTACAATTCAACCAAAAACAATAGTAAAGGAAGATACTCACAGCTGTGCTGGCAATAGACATGGCAGCCTCCCTTGTCAAGCGCAAGCCAAGAGCTGCTTTTCTCACTGATTTTTTCACTTCAGCATCATATCCATCAACACCTGAGGCAATCGCATCCTTCACAACCTGGATCCAATAGTTCAATTAGTCAGCGAAGAAAAAAGATACAAGACGATGATTGTCTCCATTAACCTAAGACATGGGAAAAATATGTTCCTGACCATTGTGGATAAATTGAGGGCTTTCCTTGTCATTGCAATAGAAAAAAAATTTACATTTAGAGGTACTCGGCATTTCACATGCTCGGAAGCCGCCATACCTTCTCTGTGTAAATAGACAAGAACTAATCCACTTTTGTTTATGTAAAACATGGTTTTTGAGCCAAACTTTAGACTAAAACATGTCCAAGATCCACACATCCAACTTTTATAATCCTTTGCAATTAAGTTAACTAAATCATATATACAAGGAATCTGAAATTATTCACATTGAACAGGCCACATTGCTCATTGATTTGTTGAAATACCCTGCAGAAGGTGGTGCAAAAGCCCGATTGAATTCATACAAAAATGGCTAAAGAGCCCAATTCAAAGGAACAAAACAAAACTAAATAAAGTAATGAAAAAACTTCAATATTCAGATTCAGTTTAGGCAGGGAAGCAACTATAATAAAGCATGATCTAATGTTTTAGCCGGAAAATTACCATCTTCAAGCAAGCTACAGATAAACCTAAGTTCCAGTCTTCAGAAACTTAGGGCGCGTTTGGTAACGCTTCTGTTTCTCTATTTTTCTGTTCTTCTGTTCTCTGGAACAAAAAAAGAACATAAATCCGTTTGGTAACGCATTTTATTTTTCTATTTCCTAGAATAGAAAAGTGGCCAAGAAATAGATTTGGAGCAGAAATAAGAAGTAGAAAAATCTACTTCTTTGTTCCTAGAAATAGAAATAGAAATAGAAAGGTCCGGTCCTCAAGCCGCAACCTCAGCTCCTCCTCCATCCTCCGTCGTCTGCCAACCGTCTCAAAGCACCGGTCCGGTCCATTCTCGGCGGAAATAATAAAAAAATTATAAAAAATTAATTAAATTTAAAAAATTTAAAAAAATTCCAAAAATTCATAAAAATCAGAAAAATTCTCAGAAAATCCATAAAAATCAGAAAAACTCAGAAAACCCATAAAAATTTGCAAATTTCCGAAATTGAAAAAATTAAAAAAAATTCATAAAAAGCTTTCTGGAAAATAAAAAGAGACAAATTTCGGGAAAGTAAAAAGTTTTAATAAACTTTTCCACAAAAAAAAACAAAAATAAAAAAATTCACATAATAGCTTAGAATAAATTAAAAAATTCCGAAAATTCATAAAAATTAGAAAAATTTCAGAAAAATCCCATAAAAAATTAGAAAATTAAAAAATTCCCAAAATTCATAGAAATCAGAAAAATTCTCAGAAAATCCATAAAAATCAGAAAAACTCAGAAAACCCTTAACTATTTGCAAAATTCCGAAATTGAAAAAATTAAAAAAATTTCATAAAAAATTTTCGGAAAAATAAAAAGAAATAGATTTAGGGAAAGTAAAAAATTTTAATAAATTTTACCCCAAAAAAATATTAAAAAATTCACATAATGGCTTAGAATACCTATGGCCACCCACTTTGAGTGAAATTTAAATTTTTGAGGTGCCCAAGTGGTATTTTTGAAGAATCCTTAGTTTAGGGATTAAAAGGGGTTTTAAACCCCTAAAAAGGATTAGACAAACCAATAAATCATGCGTATTGGTTTTTTTCATTTATAACTTGTACTTATAGTTAAATAAAAGATATAGATTTGAATGCAAAAAGTTGGGAATAGAAATTTTGTGCAGTTACCAAACGCATTTCTGTTCTTTTTCTATTCCAGGAATAGAAATTTTGTGCAGTTACCAAACACATTTCTGTTCTAGAAATAGAAATTTTGTGCAGTTACCAAACGCATTATTTTGCTCAGAAACTCTTCCAGGAAATAGAAATAGAAAAAACTATTTCTGAAAAGAAATTGTTCCCAGAAATAGAAACGTTACCATATGCACCCTTATTCGCCGGTTTTAATGTGTTTCAATTTCTGGTCAACTAGATTGTTTGGAAGTTTGCTTAAGCTAGACTCTCCTTTTACAATTAATCACCTCAAAGCCATTGAAAATCTGAAGAGCTAAATACACTTGGGACAAGGTCACAACATTCGCTCACTCTGCGGCTGAAGGAAAACAACCTCTCAGAGCGCCACTCTCCTTGCATCTATATATCTTAAGATGATAATTTCGGATATTAAACTTCTTAATGACTACCTAAAACCTACAGGCCATACTTTGGTCATATAAATGACAAAATTTTCAATGCAATATGGTAGTCTTCATATTAAATGAAGTTCCAAAGCATACAAAGACTTCCGTCAAACTGCGAGTGTTGCCCATCGAATTGGAATGTAAAAACACAAATTGTGTGTGTAGAAATTACAGTATGCAAATTACAAGCAAAAATGTACCAAGTAGAAATAACACTAGAGAAACAGGAATTCATCAGAGGAGACAGAAATTTACCTTCTCAAATAAACTGCCACATATACTGGAGTGAGCTGCTTCAACAGTCTGCTGAGGGATACAGAGCATAACTCGTATTCTTAGCAACGCTTTAACATCCTCTTCACTCAGTTCTCCATCAGCAACACACAGCTGAAGCTTCTGCCGGTAAATTTCTTAATGTGAAAATGAAAGAGGATGCTATCAATACTTTGGTGAGACAATGGTATACGTGACACAAGACACTAATATCATAAGAATTTTAGTCCTAACTAGTTAAGAAAATTGTCCCATATATGCCAAAAGGACGTTTTGTTTATTTTCTATTCAATAAAATTCTTCTTTTCGAACTTCTTATGGGATTAGAAGATAAGATGAACACACACACACATCATACAGGGCATGGGAATACTCCAAAAATAGGAATCAATGAATATACCTTCATGAATTTCACTGGCCTTCTGAGGATCAAAGTGTAACTCTTGACATAGATTCTGGAGGAATGCCGCTTTGCTATCTGCAGCTTCCAATTCACCACCAGTAAAGGCAAGTTGAAGTCGTTTACGATACACCTTTGCAGATACATCAAGCATGATGGCTTCAGTCTCGCGTTTTCCCAAACCAAAGATATTCCTCAGTTGACTCAAGGCATCAAGCTATGAAGAAACAACAGAAGAAAGGTTATTAGGAAGCAAAGACAACTTCAGCCGGGTAATATACAACAAAGGCAGGTAAGAGGCAGACAATATTTTAATAGTAAAAAACCCATACCTTGCTCTCCTCCAGTCGACCACTTGAGAAAGACTCTGCAACATATGCTCGATAAAGTATCTTCAAGTCATCCATTTTTCGGTCAGTGTCGTATTCACCACCTGAGGTACAAGAAGAGAAGTAGTAATACATGACTTCCATGAAAATACACTTCTTCGCCAATAAAACCAAGATTTAAAGGTTCCTCACCAAGTAAGGAAATTGGACCAATCCCACGAACAAAGTGATCAGCATTCGGATGGTTCTTTAATGAGACAAGCAAATTGTTAAATGCTAGTATCTCATCTAGCTGTTCTACAACTTGACTGACTGCCGTCCTGGATAATCGAAATATATAAGATGATGACAAGTAGCCTTTAGGCAAAGCTAATCAAATAAGCAAGCACCATTCAATTCCTAAACAACAAAACATTTGACATTGATTCCATCATAACTATGATGGCAACTTTTCTTGAAATTCTCAGTTAATTGACTTATTCTGTCAGGATGGATCTAGAAGAAGCATTTCTTTATTTTTTGTTGAGAAGCAATAGATTAGTAGCTGATTTTTTTTTTCTAGCAAACGTATGATGGAGAATTTTTTATGAAATGAAAAAATCATTCTTTTCAATCATTATATGGATGCGACTCATTCAATAATCTTTTAAGTAGGAGAATGGCTCTTGACTTTATAGGACTATAAACACCTTATAATTCTTTCCTCAAAACTCTCTCAAAAGCTAATCGAGTGTAAACGTTTATGGATACTTAATGTTACTAAAATAGCTCTAAATCCAATAGTAAATACAATTTTTCCATTTACACAAAAGTAAATTATTTCCAAGTTTTTTTTTTTTACTCACAAGAGATGGAGAAGCAAAGCACCAAATGCATGTGTTTTTTAAATCTCCAACTCCTGCTTCGTTATTTCCCCAAATTGGACATAACATCACTCACTTCACCTCTTATTCATAATTAGAAGCACCATCACTGAAAGATTTAACTCTTAAATTGGATGCTTTTACTACAGATTCCACACTACTTCCTTCAACTTTGGAATTTCAAAAGACTTGAAAATTTTAGGGAGGGACAAGACTTACGGATATATTTGTAAAGTTCTTTCCCGTATTTGGGGCCCACAAAGAAATTTAGAAAGTTGGCGTGGGGGTACCCCCCCACCCCCTGTTGTTTAAATTTGTCCCATGCTGAAAATATTTAAAGAACTCAAGAAACATCATTTACAGACAAAGGATACAAAGGGAACTTGGGCATGGGACATACGCTGGTCTTGTTCTTGATTTCACCACATTCACAGCTGCCGAGACATTTTCCTCCACAAGTTTCCTCATATGTTCCTTAAGCAAATCTTCGGCAAGCTGCACTAACCAATAAAGTGCATGGAAGAGATGCCACCAAAATACTACAGCAAATCAAATCTATCTATGCAGAAGACAAATGAAGTTACCTCATCAGAAAGTCGATAAGATAGTTGCACTTCTCGAAGATTTTCAAGCTGCTCCGCTTTGAGATCTAACACAGATATGAAACTTCTACTTATAACTACAAAGAACTATGTTCAACTCTAGCAAAGCCCAACATCAACTACAATAGGCTGCAATCACAAAAAGCAGTTCAAAGTCCAAGTTTTATTGAATATGCCTTGATATAAACTGCTATAACCAGGTTGATAAGCAGATGAAACTCCAGGGTTGATTGAATTAAGCCTTAATATCAACTACTACAACTTAGTTAAATTGCAAAGTCCATGATACAAAAACAAACATTTTTTTCTAGTGAACAGCAACCTCTCTCATCGCCATAATCAAAAAAAGGTACGCTTATCTTATGTCCAAACCAACAATGTTAGCCTAGTTTCGTTGCTAAAGGACGAAATTTTCATTTTTGCAATGAATCATATAATTATACACACCTCTTCCGATTGCTTTTAGCTTGGACACATACAACCTCTGTGCATTATCACGAACAGCAACCTCAATCTGCATGCACACAGATACATAACAGATTCACTGAATAAGCTAAATATGACAGATATATTAATAGATCCTCATGTCATAAGTATGATAATAAAAGCACAGTTTGGATAGGCTAGAATAACAGGAGGAGATGAGTCTTGTTATTCAAAACTCTAAGATCAGACTTCTAACCAACCTTGCAACACGAAAATAATCGCGTAAGTTGACATTGCCTAAAGAAATGACTTATACCCAAGCAGACATTGCCTAAAAAAATGACTTATACCTGCGCATCAGTAACTTTGAATATGCGCTTCCAAGGTAAAAGGAAACTTGACGCTTCTCCAAACACAAGCGTGGAAACATATATCAGCTTTTGAAATGCCTGTACTGAAGAGGAACCAAAAGTGATGAAGTTCTATACAACACTCTTGAAAAAGTATCCAAGTTGCCGGCTAATGTGTTTGTAGAGGAACTACAAGAATTCGGATTCCATACCCGACGCTGCTCCGCATCAGCTTCGCGATCCCCAGTTTCAAGCCTTTGCCTGAAAATACGCCTACCAATCTGGAGGACACAAGTGGACCCGATTGCAACCAGACATTACTCCATCATGCTTCCCATGCTAATTTGATATTCTTAAGCAGTCACAAGTAGCTAGAGCAATGGTACCTCCATATGCATGGCTGCCGCCTCCGGATCATCAATTCCCAGAGCACTCTTAAACTTAACAATTTTATCGACTTCATCTCCTTTAAGTTCTTCGTTTCCAGGAGGAAGGACGGATGAGACAAACCTGCACAAGACATATCATATGCAATTCAACCAACTGAAAGTCAACTACAACCCAAGCCAGCTTCATCTGATATTTTAAACCTGCGTACGATACAGAGAAATCAAAAGGAACAGATGCCCTTGAAGCACAATAGATGCATGATTAGTTCATTGATTTAGCTCACCTGAGGTACAAATCACATAGCTCAGCATTGAAGGCCTCATCTTGTTTGCTCACGCCGTACCTGACAGATTAGACGTTAAAAATATAACTAGCTTATGAAATTCAAACACAATTAAAGCACAACAATCACATTAAGAAATACATTGATCATGCTGCTTTTAGGCACCGGTACAGACATTTTCCGATCAGTATCTTGTAACTAAATTAGTGAATTAGAAAGTTGAACTCTAATCCCACTGATACCCAAATGAACTACAGGGAGAAATGTGATCTCTAGTACAAGTTCGACTAGTTGACTAAAATCAGGGCCTCCCACAAGCTAACGTGAATCCATGTTGAGAACAGAAGTCACCGGAGAAGGCAAAAACCGAAACAGAGCAGCGATCAAGAAAGTATATATTGAGAACGGAACTGACCTGTTAGCAATCTGTTCTATGTCCTCTTTCCGAACCGCCTGAGGATCGTCGCAGCCGGCGACGTAGTTATGCAAATCGGCAGCGGCAACCTCAGGCTCGCAAGCCCTCACCGCGTACGCCGCGGCGCCACCGGCCGCCCCGAGCACGGCGGCCCCGCCGAGGGCGGCATTGCGAGAGCCGCCGAAGCGGAGGCCCAGCCGATACCCAGCGGCGAGCGCGCCGGCCACCACGATCGCCGAGGCCGCCAACCGCGCGGGCGGGGGGAAGTTCTTGACGAGGGGTTGGAGGCCGGCGAGCTCCCTCGGGCCGCCGAAGACGTCGGGGCCGCGCGACGGAGAGGAGGAGGAGTCGGCGTCGGCGTCGGCGTCGGCCCGCGGCCGGTCGAGGTCGGCGGAGACCGCGAGGCGGCGGCGGCGGCGGAGGCGGGCGGAGGAGAAGAGGTTCGAGGGGAGGGAGAAGGGAGAGGGATTGAGGAACGCGGAGCTCATCGTCGTTCGGCGGAAGAAGAAGAAGAAGAAGCTACTCTATCGAAGCTGCTTCCGATATCAATGGAGGAGGATTGGAGAGGAGGCCCGCAGATAAGAGAACCGGGTTCGCAGTCCGTACGCGGTCGAACCGGCGGTGAGGGCGGAGGGATGGGTAAGCGAATCCGACCGGTTTAACTGTTCGCGGTACGAACCGGTTCGGTATGCGGACTGCGTTTTGCATTATGATTAATGTAGAATTTGATCCTTGAACTTTTAATTTGTTTAATGTAATCCCTAAACTTTGGCCAAATATTCAATGTGATCCCTAAACTTTTAATTTTTTTAATGTGATTTCTGAACTTTTGGTACATGTTCAGTTTAGTCCTTGAACTATATGAAAATGTACCATATAGTCCCTGAACTTGAATTAATAGAAGTACTACATTGAACATTTTTATAAAGTATAAAAACTATATTGAACATGTACCAAAAGTTCAGGGACCACATTAAATAAATTGAAAATTCATGGACCCTATTGAATATTGGGTTAAACTTCAATGACTACATTGAACAAATTAAAAGTTCATGGATCAAATTGCACATTAAACCAAAATTCAAGAACTGTTTGTATCATTTTCCCTTTTGCATTTTGTCTGGGAGCAGTGATTGCCTTCCGGACGGATTTGAAGGTACTGCCTCCGATCTCCGGCTAGGACTGGCCAACGGGCCGGGCCGTGCCGAGCCTAGGATCGCTCCTGAGCCCGTGCCCGGCCGGCTCAATCTGAAAACGATGGGGTCTCAATGTTCAATGTCGGACTCATATAAGTGACCCTTGTTTCCAAGAAGATCTCGCAAAGTTTTGTATTAATCCGGCCCCCTCTCCTCTTCCACGTTTCCTCACCGATAAATTGTCACTTTCCTCCCCGCTCTTGTTGTTTGAACCGAACATCAATCTCGTTGCCCCCCCGTCGTTGCATTTGAATGATCCGATCGTGATCTCCATCCCACAATGGACGATAACCATCTCCGAACGGACGAAAGTGCCACTGCACCCCTGGCTAAAACACGTACGAGTCTTTCACCGAGTTCCGGGAGCCCTCCGTGCCCGATCCGACCGAGCAACGACAACAATTCGACGGCGTGGAGACACGACAAGCGAACTGCAAGGGCGAACGCCGCAAGGCCCCCCCGGCTCCACAGAGTAGATTCGAGGTCTTACCCATTAAGTGCAAACCGCGCTACAACCACATCTCAAGCCCGTTGTACGATCAACAAACACAAGAAACTACCAGCACTGTGCCAACCAAAACAAAGCCTCGCGAGGCCCCGTCCCGTTCGGGGCAAGTAAAATGATTGTTATGAATCTTTAGTAGCATAATTATAACGAATATAATAAAAAAAAATTCCCGCCGTGCCGACGCATCTCGCCTCGTTCGCACGAGGCACGGGGCGGTGGCGGGGGCAAAGCTCCGCCTCCCCAAGCGAGGACGGGGTATGAAATGTCCCGAGCTATGCTCATCCCTAGCTTCCATAACCACGTACCGGTGAAAACACCACCGCAGATATCGTAGTTGTTGTTAATATGTGCATCTTAGATAGACTACGTTTTTCTTTTTTCTTTACAGTCACGCTGGTGGTCTACCCGGATGTATTCAATACATTAGATCGACCCCTCAAAGGAACAAGGGACTAACATAAGAGGGACTTGTCTCCGGTGTCAAACCTTAGTTTTTTTTAAATCAAACGTTGATGTACAAAGCTAGTTGGGATAACAACACAAACAATTCTTGAACTTTAGTCCAATGTGTAATTTGGTCCTTGAACTTTTAATTTGTTCAATATAATCCCTGAACTTTAGCCTAATGTTCAATTTGATCCCTGAACTTTTAATATATTCAATGTGGTCCCTTGACTTTTAGTACATGTTCAATTTAGTCCCTAAACTATATAAAATGTTCAATGTAGTCCCTGAACTTGAATTAATGAAAGGACTACATTAAACATTTTCAAATAGTTCGGGGACTAAATTGAACATATACTGAAAGTTCATGGACCACATTGAACACATTAAAAGTTTAGGGATTAAATTGAATATTAGGCTAAAGTTCAGGGACTACATTGAACAAATTAAAAGTTCAGGAACCAAATTGCACATTGAATCAAAGTTCAGGGACTTTTTATGTCATTTTCCCAAGCTAGTTTTGTTACCAATTTCGATTGCAATTTGTCAAGCTTTCATCTACATAAAATCAGTTAATTCATTTGGTTCTATGAACTCCGTTTGTTTCGCAGAAATTGATTAATTAAAAAAACATTCTAGATTAAATCGGTGTATGAGTTTCTCAAGAAATTTTGCGATAGCTTCAATTGTATCATCAAATCGGTGTTCTCTATATTAGAGATAATATAAAAGAGTATCATGTAACAGATTTGATCCGATGATTAGTAAAGCGATTGAATGTTAAAGTCACGAGATACTCACGTTATTGCATTACATATGAACAAAACTAACACGGTATGAGGACTATGCCATTACAATTACCGCCGGTGCGATTGGCGTCCGTGTCTGCAAAGGAATTAGTTTCGCTCGACAACCCCTGAATGCTCCCTTCATTGCTCAACACATGATTGAAAATAACATGATACAAGGACTATGATCATGCAATCACGGTTTATGCGCAAATTAATTTGCTATTTACATGGTGATAAGTGATTGTGGCATGCACGCAGTAAAGAGATGGAGGAACTTCAATGCATGAAAACTGGAAACCCTTCACCAAACACAGTCAAAAACCTAATGTTATTGCTCGCTTGCTGGTAAGAAAAACACTACTTATCAGATACCCTTCTTTCGTAGGAAAAGAGGAGAGCTCAAATTCCCTAATGAAGAAGGGTTCGAGCAGTTCCGACGACCTACATCGGCACAATAATTACGTGCCAAATTTAAAGGAAATTAACCGTTCTTCGAGTTCCGGTAATGTTTTTACTGATCTAAAAGAGGGGAGACCTCCGGGGTGTGGATTGCTTTCTTGGACGTTTCCTGAAAGATTGACCTGGAACGATCTGCTTCGGAGCGTCGCTAGGCCTCTCGCCGTCTGTCATCTCCAGCTTCCTCTTCGCTTGATTCAAAGCTTCTGCTTTCTTCTCTTCAATCTTCTCCAAAACAGCCTTCACCTGCAGAAATCGATTTATGTACACCAGCCAAAAACTGTTTTATGTGGAGGGTATGATGTCAACGGATGGCTCGTGACGGAGTTGCCAAATATTACCTTATAAGGAAAACTTCAACTATGCAAAACCCTAGTTTCCCGCCTCATAAGAAGAGTAAATGCATTGAAAACTACAGTCTTGTTCATAACCATACTTAAGAATAAGGAAAGCTGAGTACCCGTGCTATGAAACGTGATGGACGGCAAAATTTCACTTACTTTGCATTCCACTGAGCAGAAGTTGCTGGGGGCTAAGATCTTGTACTGGCAAGTCTCGCACTTAACGTCGCCGATGGGAGAGCCCGAGCGATGGACCCCTCCTTTCTGATTGACATAGACGATTGGCCGCCGGTTGATCGTGTACTGCTGGATGCCGGACGCATCCCACACTTGCTCCAGGTCCTCTTTTCTGAATGCCGCCACTCCCGAAGACTTGTATGCCTAAGTTTTCCGATGTTTTTTTACCGAGATAAAGAGTCAAGGATCAAGATGCACTTTTCTTAATGAACTTGTGGTCATAATGCTGCGAAATCTAAGAGAGTTTAATTACCGTCAAAATTGAGTGCCCTTGACTTTTGTGATGCTGCTCCATGCGATCTTCGCAAACGATGACCATGCAGGCTCTGCAGTAGTATTTGGCAGGCTTCGAGCAGTTGTCCTCGCAGGAATCGTAGAATTTGCTGGCGGCGAACATCCGCTCCAGCCACATCGGAACGCTGGTCTTTTCATCTTCCGAACACTCCATTGTTTCAAGCACCGTAAGGTTTTCTTTCCTTCCTTCTCTTTTCTTTGGCTTTATTGAAAGTAACAAACGGAGCAAACGTATTTTCTTTGGTGATTCGAAAAAGGAAACTAATTAGAAGATTCAAATGGGAAACTATCTCAAGATTTATGGTATATGTGAAGTCGAGAGATTACTATCAGTTTCAGAAGCGGGTCTATTTGAGGATTCTCACTTTAAGTCAAATTTGTTACCTTCTCTAGTCTGCGACGGGGGGAGTTGGAAGAAGAATCTGAATGATGATGATCATCATCATCTTTAGGAAAGTGAATACTACAGTATCCGGCGATAAGCTTCTTGCAACTGAAAAACGGTACGGCTCCATTTTAATTGTAATTTTTATTTGCTAATGTCGATTGTTTTATCAGTCAACCCAGTGACATTCGAGAAGAAGATTTGTTTCGCGTACCCACGTTCAGTTACCTCGGCCTTGAAGGATCTTATCTGGTTTATGATAGTGATTATCTCCTGCGATTGGCATGTTGAACAGCACAGAATCTATGATACAGCTCCAATTCTCTTTTACTGCTAGCACATAATTTTGTTTGACACTATAGTATGGAGTTATTGATTAATTGAATCGAATTGATAGTTCCTTTGGAGCCACGAGAAAATCGCAGCCGATTTGATCTGATGACGGTCTAAATATTTTTAAAGCAATTCATAAGTTCATAACAAAATTAATTTGCCTTTGACCTTGAAACTTAGAATGATATTCTTGAAGGAAAAAGGTTAATATACAAACAAGATAATAGTCTTAGCAGCTCACGACTTCTTAGCAAAATCTGAACCCAGAAGTAGATACATTCATTCAACGAACTCATTCAAAGGATAACGATTAAAGCCCTTCTATGACTCGAGCTGAGCATACCAGATGCCCCGGATCTTCACTTCCTTAGGCACCTTAGCTCCCAAATCGGTATCCGATGGCTGAACACTCTCGAACACGCCGATCACCTCTCCTGTCTCGGGCTTGCTCTTGGTCACGCTCAGCGTGATCTTCCCGGTCGAAGACGAGGTGTTCTTGATGTTCTCCTTAGTCAAGTCCTCCTCATCTCCTCTCCCACCGGCGGGCAGAGCCACAGCATTCTCGTACCCGGTGGAACCACCACGGCCCTTGGGGTCAAGGAACGACGAGCCACGGTACGAGGGCACGAGGAACTGCCCGCTGAAGCTTTCAGGCTTCCCGGAGGCCACGAGCTGCTTGATGGTGAAGAGGAAGGGCACACGCTCGCCCCCGGGGAGCTGCACAGTGACGGCGGCATAGTCAATCCCGTCTTTCTCCTCAAACTTGATGGTGCCATCGGAGGAGACCTCAAAGGGGCCCTCAATCTCATCGAGGGTATAGGTGAGGCGGGTCATGAGCTTGGTGTCCTGGAACTCTGGGGGAGCGTTCTTGTTCACGCTCTCGGCTTTCACGGTGAAGGAGGTCGGCTCGAGGCAGAGCTTCTTGGCATTGTACTTGCCAGGCTTGAAGGCGAACGAGTCGCGCCCACCGTCGATGATGGGGCACTGGTTGGCCGTACCGGTCCCCTTGACTTCCATGTAGGTCTTGCTCTGGATCTCATCGTAGGTCAGTCTCTTGGGGATTCCCTCTGCACTGGCACCCTGAGAAAGACCAGAAGCTTTCATCACAACATAACCATCATCTATCTATAAAAGCAGACCGAATTGTGCAAATGAGAAACTGATCGTATTCATGAAATGTTTTATCAGGATCAAAGTTGGAACTTGCATAAAATGTGTTGATTTGCAGGGCAGAGGACTTTGTTTCAATTATACTCTCTTTAAGCAAAGCATTGATCTCGGTTGTTCTGTCTTGTGTCACCTGATGTTCCTTAAACTCCCTACTCAAGAAATGTCCTTGATCAAATCAGTATATGCATCTTGATGGCAGGAATGCTTCAAACATCAAATTAGACGATTCAATTAATCACCGCAGACCTGACGCCTGTACAGCTTCACCATTAAAGCCTATCAACCACATCAAGAACTAATTTCAGCCCACGAACTCTCAGCAGCTAAGGACAACTGCATAGTTTTGCGAGGTGTGCCGGAAAGAGTGCGCGATAACTTAGGCATTTGGAGAAGGTAAACAATCTATCTAGCACAACCCGGCATCGCTATTCGAATGCTTAATGACCTTCTCTAGATGGGGCCCCTGTTTGTACACACAAGGCCTACTCAATCTATTCAATGAAAATCTCCCAATTTCGAGCACCGTCTATGGCCCACACAGCATCAATAGAACACAAAAGGAGCAGAGAGAATAGCAGTAACTACTTCAAGGATATTAACAATTCAACCATATTAGCATTTAAAGATTAGGGGCAACAAAAATTGACAAGTGAGGCTTGATCTCCATACCGAGATGACGAGGGCCGAGGTGGCGAGGGCGAAGCCGGCGATCTTGGTGGCGTCGACGCACTTCTGGGCCAAGTCCTTGAGATCAGCCTGGAGGGAGCAGGTGACCCTGGAGCCAGCACCGCATTCCAGCCCAAAGGCCTTGGATACGTTCTGTGATGACCTCAGTTGCAAGCTGCTCCTCCCCACCTTGGTGGGCTGCATGAGAGTGGCTGCTGCCTGCAGTGAAGCCGCCATTCTCTTCTGTCCTTTTTTTTTATCTTCTTCCCTACTCTCACTCTCACCCTCACACTATCTGAGGAGTTTGTGGGAGGAAGAAGGGCAAAAGGATTGCAGATAAACGAGCTTGAAGATGAGGGTGGGGAGGCAAATTAATCTGGTGGACATGGTTCGGGGAAGATAAAGAGATAGGATAAGGTGGTCTTTGATTGGCTGGTTCATTCAAGGCAATGTATCTGGCTCCAGAGCTTGCCACGCGGCGCTGTCCAAGTGTATGATAAAGATACCTGGGTCAGGAGAGTGTGGATGATGGCGTCCGGATGGAGAATCTCTCTTTGCTATGTTGCTTGAAATTCTCTCTCTCTCTCTCTTTCTCTGAAGGGGCAGCATCAGAATGCATACAATCTGGACTTCAAAATCCGACAGCAACCCTAGTTTAATCTTCATCTTCCCTTGTGTTTAGTGTTTACCTTCTCTTATTCATTTTCATGGAATATACATTTTGAAGAGGAGATCAACTAAAAGCAAATGGAACACATGGGCAAAACAGAATCCAAAGCTCCATATACATTATGTTAGAATATTTAAATAATAAATTACGCGTTCATCAAACAATTTAAGTTTTTAGAACAATTAACAGTGGCCCCACAGGATCTCACTTGGTAGCAGAACGTCCTTAACTTGGGGCTAAAGGCCAGCTTACGTGTAAGGGAGAGTGTCAGAATATTTAAATAATAAATTGAGTATTCCTTTAATAATTTAAGCTTTTAGAATAATTGGTAGTGGTCTCATAAAATCTCACACATTCAATCGAGGGATTTTATATTAGATCTTCCCTGTCATTTCTTTTGTTACTCTTCACTTTAGGTTGTTTATTAAGATCTTAACATATGGAGCAACAAATTGGTATAAACAAACATGGCTTCTTTCTATTTCACTTCTTAGCATACCCCATTTATGTCATTCTAATTGCATTAGCGATAAAAGACATTCTTTTGTTCGAGTAATCCGAATTTGAAATACTGATTCAAAACCCTCTAGATGTAGATTACCAAATCAAACTACATTCTCGAAATTTGTCCTTGGCCAAAAGGCACATATTCTATCCCAATACTCATCCTACTCGATCTAATATGAGCCCACATAATCAAGTTATGAGGGGAGACATAGCTTTGATCGGAGAAAATTGTCCAAAAAGTACTAATCATATTGTACAATGGCCAATTCGATCCTAAATATTTTTATTGTGCCAATTTAGTCATAGATACTTTAACAATTTGCTAATTTAATTATAAATCTTTCGAAGATTTGTCAATTTAGTCATTATGGCTAATTTTAGCTAGAAATCGCTGACATGGCAATCCAGTCATTACCAGTCGTCTTATATGGTACATCCGGCATTTACATGGATGATATTTGCAGTTTTTAAAAAAATTCTGATTTTTTTCCCTTTTTCTTTTTTTCTTTTCTTTCTCTTGTTTATTTTTTCCTTATTTCCCTTCGCCAGTTGCTAACAAAGGTTGCTGGCCACCTGCGAGGGTTTTGTCTTTCCAAGGGTTTCATAATTGGACATCGAACCCATTTCAAGACGCCCTCCTCGGACTTGGCGAGGGTTCCCTTCGCCCCCCCGTGACTAGAGTTCTTTTAACCCATAAACCCCGACTTCAAAAAAAAAAAAAAAAGGCACTCCGACTTCACTTTGCTCCTTATTCTCTCATTTTACTAAGTTCAATGCATTGATCAATTAAAATCATCCAATTTGGTCTAAATTGTTACCGTTAACCGCAAATTTGTATAGAGCCCCATGCCCCCTAGAGTGTTTGGTTACCATCAAAATGTCCCTCAAAGTTTACTCAAAGTTCCCTAGAATTCAGTCATAGAGGCGTTTGTGGCCTTCGGGCCTCCTTCCTCTCAAACGTACAACTTCCAAGCGGGACATCGAGCTGGATTTGGCACCGTGGGACTTAAGTTGCTTCCCAATGTGACGTATAAATTACAATTTAACCAATTTCATTTCGAGAAAAAATGCCCTTTTTAACCTATCTCGAAGACTTTTCCAGCCATGTCCTAAAACTCGAAATCAAAAGCATAAACAAAAAAGCACCAAGAAGAGGTCTTTCAATGAGCTTTCGCTTAACTTTTTCAATGGCAAAGTAGCTTTTGGATTTTGCGTTTACAAAACCAAACCAGACGCATCCGAAGTCTAGGCCGCAGATGAGCATGGGCGAGGGCACGAGATTTAGTCACTTCAGTGCAAATCAAATCTGATTTAACCCAAAAAAAAAAAAAAGAAAGAGCAGCGAATCGCAAACTTCGGTCGTGTGCCTTCAAGTGCTAGATTTGCCAACCAAAGAATAAACAAACGAATGAATAAAAGGAAACAGATGATGAGAGTTCAATGGATTTTTCCGAAGGGGGCAATCAGTATGAGTAGGAGGTTCATTTGTAACATCAACTTGTGTTTATAATCAGATGACAATAAAACTCATCATCACTTTGCAACCCCGAAATCTCTTTTCGCAACCAAAGCAACCCCCACAAAAAAAAAAAAAAAAAAAAAAACGAATACCAGGCAAATTCGGCGAGCAACTCTCTTTCAGGAAAAATCAAAGCAAAAGAAGGAAAGGAAGATCCCGTGTTTCTCTCGGACAAATGCCTCGATTTTGTCGTCACGATGTTTGAAAAGAATGGAATGATCTTATCGGACTCGTCATCGATTCCTTGTTCGTCACTGAGAAAGCGAAACGAAACGACAAAAAGCAGGGAGCGTGTTTCGAAGGAAGGGGGGGGGGGGGGATAAAGAGATGGACCGATGGGAAACGGCGAGAACGGAGCGGAAGTGTTCGCAGATCTTGACCGCGAGCCAGGGCGTTCGCGCTGGCCGGAGTGGCTCAGATCGCGGCGGCGGAGGAGGAGGAGGCGGCGGCGAGCGCCTGGAAAGGGTTGAGGATCGTCGGTGCAGAGGATGTTGGGGGAGACGAGCTCGGTTTATATAGGCCAGGAGCGATCGGCGCGCGCGCTGCTAGGGTTTTTGATCGCTCGTAGAGAAACGAGAGTTGGTGGGCCGGGGCACCGCGAGAAATCGGGTTGGGACTTCTTGTTGGGCCGGACTCGGCCCGATGGGCTTCAATGGGGTTTGGGGGGGTTCCCCTCCCGAGACCCGGATTCCACGGGACCGGGTTGATCTCCACCGTTGATTCGACAGGCCCCCCGCGTGATCAAACTAATTGTGGGACCCACCGGATCGACGGCCGGCCATGGACCCGTGACAATGAGCCGGGCTCGAGCCGAATTCTTGTTTTTTGGTTCCCTCCGTATGGATACGATGAACCCAATATGTTAAAAAAGGCTTAAATTAAAGTCGCAAGGGATGCCAGCGTAACCGTCTTTAAGCTACTATTAGAATAAGAGCATGTCATGAACCACAAATTTTTGAAGGAGTAGACCCCTCACGGCAATTTTCAATTTCTTTTTATGGCTGAAAACAGACGGTTATTCTCACAGTAGATTAAGGACAGTCACATAAACTTTTTCTCGAGTCCCTAATTGATTCCTTTTTTGATTTTTAATCAAACTACCCATCGGAAGGAAAGAAAACTAGCAGGGGGGGCGACATTTCATCGCGGGTTACTAGTCGACGCGTAGGCCCGAGTTTTGGCTATGACACGGGCTTAGTTTCGCACTGCCTTTTTAAGCGTGCACGAGTGTTGTTGCATATAATCCGAGTTCCGTGGAAAGTGAGGCCATCTAAACCACCTCTTGTACACAAGTAAGTAAACCGAGAACCTTGTTTAAAACGAGTCTTTCAACTTTTGGGATCAAGATCACACAGTTCACGTAGTTACAGACATTATAATCAAAGCCAAAAGTGCAAATCGGGGACATAGAGAGGGATTACTAAGGATGGATGATCATTAGAAGAAGTGAATCATGATCGCCCAGACCGGGAACACGATCAGGAGCACGATCCCGAGCGTGTTGGATATCCCGTGCGACTGCGTGAGGGAGTTCCTGAACCCGCCCGACGCGCGGATGTGCTCTTGCAGCAGGTAGCACCCGATGAGAAGGCATATCAGGACTCCGGTCCAGCGGTCTCTCAGCGTGTGCGCGAAAAAGTGGGGCGCCACCACTATGAGCAGGATCAATGAGCCTGGCATCTCCAACCATTCTGCATCCATCAACCAGGAAAAGGAATTATAAGTATGCGAGGCAGTGATCGAATTCCATTACAGATGCCGGTTTAGTAACTCCGTGGTCGATTTTCGTTCTGTCGTATTGTTTGATACGTATAATTTGAACAGCGAACCGACCGAGCCTGATGGATCTACCTGGGAAATGGCGGGGGAAGAAGAGCTTCAGCACCACTGCAGTGAAAGCAACCCATTTGCCGAAATCTTCCCTGTGAAAATCATGGCTTGATAAGGACATACCATCAACAAATATATGCGAGGAAAAACTAACTGGTCTCAAGCTATATATGACGCTTAAAATCAACCTCTTATCGGTAATATCGCGAGACAATGTGACTCGAAAATCATATGATCAGCTGTTTGGCCGTTAGGTTTATGGTTGGCAATGGCATGTCGTTAACATTATTAATCGTGTCGCATCTGTCAAATTTGTTCGAGCGACGTGCTGTAACAAACGCCGATACGGGTCCTTTTCTCGGCATCGCATAATAACAGGTCGATCCATTCAACATACAAGCACAAATAATCTCGGACCGAACCTGCTATATACTCTATGTAATGCATAACGTTCTTGTCACGAATTGCCAGGTCTATGTCAACTTCCAAATGAATTCTCGTGCTATAACAATTAATGCAGTGTGATCATCACCTCAGCATGTGAAACAAGGACGAAGGCAGGCTGAAGAACACGTAAGGGACCAAGAGCGAGGTCAGCATGTTGGTCCTCCAGTTCGTGCGATCCAATATCAACAGGTATCTGCCAAGTTAGTCACAAAACAGACTCGTATGATCGCTAAATCGAACCCGTCGCATGTAAAGAAACAGCGACCACGCATCGCTCAGCAAGGAGAAAGAGAAAGAAACGAAAGAACCGACATGGCGGCGATGGAGGCAGTCCACTTGAGAAAAGCGGTGCCGGAGCGGAGACCACCGAGCCGGGTGGCATGATCGAAGAGCCTCTTAGCAGCAACCTTGAGCTCGTTGATGTCGGAGCTGAGCAGGTCGTCCATGGCCGGATCGGTCCTCATCGCCAGATAATCCATCCTCCCCATTTCGGCACACCGCCGACGAAAGCGAAAAACAAGAAATGCAGATCTTAGAGAACCAAGTTCAGAGAAGAGAGCGACGATGCCGATCACTCTGTAACTGTAGTTGATGGTGGCGAGCGAGAAAAGCAACGTGAAGGGTACAGTAGTTTTGTACGCTTCTTGGAGGGATTGTCGTGGTGTGGGAACCCTGCGAAGGTTCGGATCTTGAACCGTTTCCTGCTTTTGACTGTCGAGTTCAGTGTCCTTCGCCTCCATGCAAATTCGCCGATGAAGGAGGCCTTGTGCACGTGGCGCCTTTGGCTTGGACGACGCCCTCTTATTCAGCAAGGAGCACTGTTTACATGACACGTGGATAATACCAGAAAGTGCGGCACAGATAAGGCGATGTTATGGGACGGACAGAATCAATCACAACGTAAAAACTGCGGGAGAAGTTGTATTTTTTTGTTTAGGGTATGGTGCGAGTACCACTTTTCTAAACTTAGATTAATCGAAAGGTCAAGAATTCGATTATTATAGTTGAAATCCGAGACTGTAGAAGCCTTGTAGGATTGCCAATCGCTGCACTAAGAGTTGGAGAGTCAGCGCATCTCGGAAACTTTGACAGAAGTGCAATGGATCTTCGGTTTAAGGCGCTCTCAATCGCTACACTGAGAGTTGGAGAGTTGATACATCTCGGAAACTTTGATAGAAGTGCAATGGATCTTGGGTTTAAGGCACTCTCATTGCCAAGATTGGATCCGTGCAAGCTGAATTAACCGCTAAGCACTAGCATATACATATGGATATCACGAGTGTTTATTCGCATAATCTAACGATTGTAACTGAATCGAATCTACCGACCCATATGCCTCCGAAGACGGGACACCACGTCAATCATGTAACCGGTGTAGAAAATACGATTCTCCAATGCGAGCCATCCTACTGTTGAATTGCGAACTGGGTTTGGAATTTGGTGTCCTGTATAGAGGACATGTAGATTTTACATTTTCCACTTGGAACATGTTCCAGTGTATCTCTAGGAAGGAAAAGTAACATAGTTTGAAAGAGCCTGGTGAATCAGTCACAATTTTATTTTTTTACCTGTGTAAAATTTATGATCATTTATATGGGATTTAGCCCAATTTGCAAAAATAACTTAAAGATTATCCACAATTTCGGTCATCATCACCGAATCGCGTTATTCAGTAAGCTGTTTGATGAAGGCGAGCTCTGATCACTCAACCAAGGGTCCTGAACAGAGACTGGGGAGCTTTCCTTCACCTCTTCCAAGCTGGAGCGGTCGGCCGGCTTCGGCGGAACGAACAGCTTCTGGCTCACCGAGCCGATCTTCTTCTTCAATGAGCCGCCCGTTGACCTCTCGCTCATGGCGTAAGGTGACGAGCAGATGGATGCCACGGACGATGCGGCGCATGCCACATCCTCATCCAACGGGGCCCACCCGCTCTGCCTAACGTGCTCGAGCTCTTCCGCCACCTCCGTCATGGACGGCCTCATGTCGCTGTGGAAGGCGAGGCACCGGAAGGCCAGCTCGGCCACCTTGTGGATTGATGAGAGCGTCCAGGCGTCCTTGTGCGGATCCAGGAATGGGTCTATGATCTCTTCCACACAGCCCCTGCCGATCCTGTCGATTGCGAGTGCAGCGAGGTTAATCTCGGTGTGCGGCCGGGAGAAGTCTACTACCTTCTGCCCGGTTATGATCTCCACGAGGACCACCCCGAAGCTGTACACGTCGCTCTTGTCCGAGAGGTGGAAATTCTGATGGTACTGAGGGTCTAGGTACCCCGGAGTCCCCTGGGGAGCTGTCGAGATGTGGGACAGCTCCGACTCCACCATCCCGAGCCTGGAGAGGCCGAAATCTGCCACCTTCGAGTTGTAGTTGTGGTCCAAGAGGATGTTGCTGGACTTGATGTCTCTGTGGTAGATGGGCGGGTTGACGGCCGAGTGGAGGTACTCGATGGCATGGGCCGTCTCGGCCGCGATGGTGAGCCTTACGGTCCAAGGAAGCCCTTTCCCTCTCTCTTTCTGCAAGTGCTGGGACAAAGTTCCATTCGGCATGTACTCGTAGACGAGTATTTGCTGATCTCTCTCGATGCAGCATCCCAAGAGGCGGACGAGGTTCGGGTGGCTGACAGACGAAAGGAGCTTGATCTCGTTCATGACTTGCTCGATACTGTCCGTGTCCCGATTCCTGATTCTCTTCACGGCAACCCACTCGTCGCTGTGGAGCTTCCCTGCGTATACCGTCCCGTAGGCACCGTTCCCCAATCTCTGCTTCTCGGAAAATCCGTTAGTAGCTTTCTCGATGTACTTGAATGGATACAGGGGGACACTGGAGCTCCCGGCGGCTTCATCCAGAAGCCGCTTCGCGCTCATCCGGTTTCTGCGCGAACTTGACCGGCGTCGGATGAAAAAACATATACCGGCTAGGCCGGCCATTATCGAAGCTCCGGCAATCAGCCCTAACAGCAAAACAATGTAAAATAATGCTTTTCTTGTATCTAAGAGAATGCAGGTCATAAGAAACAAAACCCTTCTCAATCTAGTACCTCATTCAATGTAAAATGCAAATCGAATTGGACATCAACGTGAGAGAAATTAGCTTGACCTTAGCCAAGTCGACTATTAGCTTCGAATCTCAGAAGGCGACATGTCGAAGTGCAAGCATTAATTTGAAATCTTAATCCAGTCTAACTTGTGCATCGCAGGAGGAAAAAGATCCTCCGGACGACATTAAGTAATGGTGTCAACGGCAGCATGACGGACAGAGTTAAGAAATCTGCAGCTAGTAATATGTTCCCAGATAGTCGAGATTACGTACCTCCAATAAGAAGACCAATCTTCGAACTTCCTTTACAATCGCCAGAGAAGTACTTCGAAGCACTGCAACTTGAAACTGCGGAGAAGTAACAAGTGCAGAAAGGATCAGAAGAGACGCTTTTCGGCACCAGATCAGAGTTTAACGAATGGCATCAAAGCCTTCAAAAGTGCACGCGCTATCAGGGATTCTTGCGCATGCTCTTCCTGTCCTTGCTGCTATATGTATAATTATCCTGGACAGAAATCTTTTGCAAGGCATTCAAACAAGAAACTCAACTAGGGTCTGAATATTTTTCACCCAAGGATGAAGAAATGCGAATTCGTAAAACTAGTTCCTCAGAGCACTCTGTGGCGACGTGTGCCTTGGCCCTGCAACTATGTTAGTCCACATATCGGGCAAGCATTCAAATGTTTCTAGAGTTATCAGACAGTTTCGCTCCGCTCGGAAAACTAGCCTCATTCAACAATGTACGATGTAATACGGGATTTACTGTTTTGGTACCGACTGATAAGCTGAGTTCATTAGCACAAAATCAAGCCAAAAAGTTGTTTCTGTTGCTCTTATTCGTCGGCAGAGGAGCAAATGCACCATCTGCTGGTATTAACCTGAACAAGCTAAGTTCAACTCCAAAATTTCCTCATTTCCAACAGAAACAGAATCGGTCATTTCCGTGTCCCTTCTATTAGTTAAGGGGTCGTCATTCTGTCGTGTCAAAACGCGATCCTATTAGAACCGCGCCCTTGAAAATACATTTCAGTTCTCGCAATAGAGTTAACTGGGACCCCTGAATTCTCACGCGAATCTTGGCATAACGACGCGACCGGGGATGGCATTAACCAAGGAAAACTACTAAAGCACATCCTCAAAAAGAAGTAACGACCCAGACCGCCAGAAACCAATCTACATTTTGCTAAAACTAGAGAGCAGCTTCTTCATGCAATCCGAAATGGCAAGTCGAGAGGCGCGAAAGTCTCAGACTTTGACAAAAGGAGTCTTCAACACATTTTCTATTCTCAGCATACGAATGTTTCCAGCCCATCATCATTCACAGGGAGAAAGAAGGGCAAGCTGTAACTACTATTCGATGCCTACCCACATGTGCATAATGGCCAAAGATTTCGCACGACACCTCTATCCTAACCTAAAAACTGCTTTACCCCCCACACCAAACAGAAATCCGAACCAGAAATGTGTTGACCCTGAGGCTGTTGGTCAAAAGTTCTGCAGTCTCCTTCCTTCCTTGGAGGTTAATGTAACTCCACAGTCCACATGCCTCACATTTCAAACCCTCCCTTGAAACCCGGGATTTTGAGTGCTAAGATTCTACGCTGGAATCAGTAGATAAGTGGGGCCTCTTCCTAACCTTGATCAAAGTCAACCAAATGACGGATCTAATCGAACAAAACACGAGACACACACACACACAGAAAAACATCCACCAACTTTGACCGGTCGCATTTCATTTCCCTGTTATTATGGCCGTTTGGAAGAGGAAGAAGAGGAAGAAGAAGGAGAAGACTACTGATGATAGAGTTGCTGAGAAGCAAGACAGGTGAACAGCAGGGCAGGAGTAGCCATTAAACGACCCTTTGAGAAGAAGGCGGGTGAACAGTAGGGCAAGAAGTAGCCATTAACGACCCTCTGAGAAGGTCCAATCTCTTTCGTTTTGCTCGATTCATTAAATTACTGTCCATCGTGAATTCTGCCACCGCTCTTTGACCAGGTCAAAGGGCGTGCGCCCCCGCCGCATGTTACAGCAACGTGGGGTACCAAATCGCACCCCGGATGTTTACTTTCTCGAACAGTCAAAACAGGCGAAAATTAGGCCGACCACCAAAAACGCCTTCCGAAAAAGCAAATCTGGGGAACGAGAATTTTCGGCGATGCATAATGTATTCGATTCGATAATTTGGACGCTGTTCAAATGTAGGAATGGTCAGTATGATGATGGCGGCAAGTTGGATGCGTCCTGTCCAACTTTTTCTCCTATGATTTCGTGTAGCGATACTAATGACGTGGTGCTAATCTGACCACCCGCCGATGAAAGTTTGACATGTTAGAGAGGCAAACGGCAGCAGTTTTCACGTGGATGGAGGTGCTTATCTCTTGTAAATCTCCATGGCACGAAAACGTCACCAGAACCTTATCTTATAAATTAATTTAGGGTTAATACCATGAAAAATCTCAAATCGATATTATGTGATAAATTTACCCCGAATTAATTTTTTGATCACAAAAAATTACAAACCTATACTTCTTTGACGGATTTACCCAAAACTAATTTTTTGAGCATCAAAAATCCCAAATTGGTACATTTGTGATAAATTTACCCTCTATTAAATTGGATTAATACAAAAAAAAAAATCACAAACTAGTACACCTGAGACAAACGGAAGATAAAACCCCAAAACTGGTACATTCGTTGGTTGCTATGTGCCATTTAACTAAGTAATTTGATAGTAAAATTTTACGAAAACAAACGGAGGGTAAATTTACCACAAGTGTAGCAGTTTGAAGATTTTGATGGTTAAAAAATTAATTTTGAGTAAATTTGTCATAGGTATATTGGTTCAAGGTTTTTCGTGATATTAACCCATGAATTTATAGGTGAAATTTTGTATAAATTTCATCAATCGTATTGATGGGAAAAGAGTTCACGAGTAAAATCAAAGTTCATAATTTGTTGTTTCCATGCATTTTAGGAATTCTCATCTGAATAATAGTAATCTTATCCCCCTAAAGTTACTTATCAATTTAGGAAAACGAAATAAATCGAATGTGCAAAAGTGTGAATGGATGGATGCATCGATGCATGTTCATCGGTCGAGTTCGACTCACCTCTCTGGCAACCGCGGCCGGCGGCGAACCCGTCGCCCTTGTACCCCTCCCGGCACTCGCACCGGAACCCGTCTCCGCCGTCGGCGAGCAGCACGCTGGTGCAGTTCGCCTCCGCCGCGCACCTCCCGCCGGCTCCGCACGACCCTTCCAGCCACCAGCCGAGCTCGATCACCTGGAACTCGAACCAGTTCCCGTCCGATTCCACCGCCGAGAACAGGAACTTGCACCCGGTGTCGCCCACCGCCTCGTACCCCATCACGTCGGACCCCCTGTTCTCCGGCGAGAAGCAGCTTATGTTGTCGCTCCGGGCCTCGCAGTGCTTGGCCCCGAACCGGGCCTCCACGAAGCTGGTCGGGATGAGGCAGCCGCCTCCGGCCGGGGGGCTCGAGCAGTTCTGGAGGAGGAAGCTGTTGGCCCAGGTGGGCGCGTAGCTGTCGCCGAAGAGCGGCGAGACCGACCCGACGTGGCGGCCGCATTCGGCGGGGAGGCTGACCAGGATGCTCGACCGGGTGACGTTGAGGACCCGGAATCCGCCGATCGCGATCTCGCTCCCCGTGGCGTTGGCGGCCGCCGTGCAGCTCAACTCGATCTCGCATCCGCTCGAGAACCCAAATGGGTAGTCAACGCGCTGCGCCCACTTTCCGGTCCCGCAAGTCCGGCTGCAGGGGGAAGCCGAGCTCCGAGCCCTGGCTCGAGCTGTCGGGACGGCGACGCCGGCGATGACGACGGTGACGAAGAAGACGGCGACCGTGATGCCGGGTTCTGCTCCGCGGAGGGTCATGTTCGAACCGGGTGCGTGCCGGAGCCGAGCTAATCACTCGCTACCCTCTTTGATCAAAGAGGTCGAAGCCGAGAAAACAGAGCAAATCGAGCAAATTCTTGAACCCCTGACCGCCAAGTGCTCGATGCAAAGACAGAGAGAGACTATCAACAACAGTCAATGGAGGAATTCAAACACAGGGGAGGGGGGGTACGCTGGCGAGCCATCCATCTCCATAAATGCTCGTCTTGCAGAACGACGAAACACCGAAGGGGGTGGGTGTTCGACTGATCGTCTAGTCTTTCATCGAGCTTCCCACTCCGAGCTCTGCTCCACTGGGCGGTCGGCCGCCCGCCCCCTCGTTTTTGCGCTCTGCTTCAAGTTTCCCGAGCGAAAATCGCCGATTGGCCCACGATTCTGAGTACGGAGGGGGGGGGGGGCTCGAGTTACGTACTGCTCTTGATCACAGGGGGAGGGAGGAAAAGGGGAAGAAGGAAGAAGAGCCGTGAGATTGTGGGAAAGCTGTCTCCTTCTTTGACTCTGTCTCGTCTCTCTCTCTCTGTGGAATCTGAGTGGGGAGGAGGAATTGCGGGTACGAATGGACTGGGACAGCCCCTTGGGAACTTGAACTTTCGTAAGATAAATGTTAAGGAACAGACGAGTTTCCATAATCGTCCCACCTTATAATTATATAAGATAAGGGAGGCAATTTGCATCGGTGGCAGTGGATCAAGAGAGCTTTGAACCACCACCGCCATCCATGGCTTTTGATGATGGTCTCTATCTCTCTCTGTCTCTGGATTTTTCCTTATCTTTGGAGGAACCCCAAAAACATGAGATGCAACAATGTTGTCAAAGTGCACGCGTGTTAGGAGTTAGGACACCTAATGGAAGAGTGTGAAACTAGCGACGAAAGTAATCGTGAATGATTCGGAGAATATTTTCCTGAAGAATGATCGCCCGTATCACTTGAGATAATCGGCCGGTGAAGAACGTTTTCATTGCCGATGGGATTATCTTTCCGTTCGTTCGTTTTACTAAGGCGATACGATCGATCGCTTTTAGGAAAGTGTCTTCCGGATCGCTCATTTTCCGTGAAACAAATGATACGACTGTCTTGGAAATTTAGTCGGCACATGCTTTTTTCTCTATGTGAGTTACATTTGGGACTGACAATTTGCATTTGCGGATATGATCATAAATCGTAATCACTCTATTGCATGTTGGTAGGTAACCGAGTTTTTCATCTTCAAAATTTGGAAGAAAGTTATATGTATATGACGTTAGGTTACGATGTTGATACATGCGTTAAAGGACTTGGTTGAAAAACGTGGTACCGAAAGGGCGTCACGGGGATGCTAATCCCCCACGCGTGACTCATCCTATGTTTTTACGCAAATTGACCTTTTTTTTTCTCACGTGCAATTAGGATTTTCGATGATTCTCATATATGTACAAGAATGCATTGATTATTCTTATGATGTGTACGATAAGTGCTTTGAAAATCAACCGCCTTTTCGATGAGAACACTCGTTAATAAAATTCGCGCAAATTTCATTCCGTTTGGGGGGTCGGGCAATCGCGGTTTTGTGCAAGGGCATTATGGTCAAAGAGCCGCTGTTTTCGACTTTCATTTATTTACTTATGTATTTATTTTCGGCCTGTTGACTCCCATCGCTTTCCCGAATTATTTTGATGGCGGCCTTGCAGTCCATTGCCGTGTATGGAATGTGGGAAAAAACCTGAAAACTTAGTGGTGAAAAGACCATAACGACCCCCGCCCCCCATCAATGCCCTGCCCTCCATGTTGACTTCCATGGCGGTTCCTATAGATTCCTAAAGCTCACCTGTTGTCATCTTCGTTGACTTTTCTCTCCCTATGAGCAACAAAAGTCTCACATCACCTGCCCCTCTTATTGAATGGATTCACTAGGCAAAGGAGAAAAAAAATAATCCCATCTAATTTATGTGTATGTTGGTATTGAATGCGACCCCTCCATTTTTATATACATGTCAAAAAATATTATTAGCGAAAAGGATAAATCGAAAAGCAAAGGTACTGAAAATTCAAACGGTGTCGATATTTGAATGTTGAGAATGAAAACAGGAGGTTTCTTCAAGTAATAAACCTGGAAGTTCGATGCTGAAAAGTACTTGATTTCTGACTCGGTACTGAATGTAAAAAGATGTATCCCTGAAACGGCGATCAACTCCGCCAATCCTGGGAGTTTAAGGGATTTATTCATCAACCTCTCTTACATTGCTAATGGCGCTCCCAACCTCGAATGAGAGCTTGCTTGCTTAGGACATTGCTGTTTTGAATGACCTGCTAAAGGGGCAACAAAGTCCTCGTTTCATCCTAGTAGCATCATGTATAGATATTGCCATGATCTTATATCAAGCCTCATGCATATTGTAGATAATTTATATGTTCAATTCTTAGAAAATATGCCAGATGGGCCAGCAGGTATACAGCCCCACTAGTTAAGGATTTGGGAGGGTGGGGTTGCGGGTAGGGATCGAATCACCACTCTGCATGAGATATACCAGTGAGAGAGATGAGGGTCGGTTAGGAAGACCAAAAAAAATTCTTAGAAAATTTAGAAGTATTATAGATTTCAGTGATGAATAATAATCGGATCTTACAACTTCAAAAATTAAAGTATCGACCCCACTCGTAGTTACTAGGCCTCGAAAAGAGGTCTTCTTTTGTGGCACAGCACAGTCTGCAACTGATTTTTGTGAAAAATGTATAATTTGGTAAGCATTTTCCAAAATATGATCGTTTGTATCTCTTGAAATAATTAATCAATGAAAAAACGTTTTCATTATCGACAATAATTTATGTCCAAACATTTTCGTGAACGATAAAAATGATACAAATAATTTTCTGGAAGTCTTTTCTAAAATCATTAATTTTCTGCGAAATAAACGGGACTTTAAATTTTGACAATATTGAGAGAAATTAATGGTCGACGATTGGCCCATTCTCGAGAATTGAGCCACATGAGTTTGCATAAGCAAAACGAGCAGTTCTTTAGTGCATCGTGTGCATGTTAGCACAATATGTCACAACCTATGATTTTGATGAATTCCACGTGATTTAAGAATTTGGGATGCGCTGCATAAGTGCTGAAAAATCAATGTTAAGAGAGTCCCTAGACATTTGCATCCTTATTCGGACGAGCCTTTCTTTGGTGGAGATTAATTGCCCATGGAATTGGAAAACGAGCTTTCTAGACAAACTAACAGCAAAACACAACAAACTCATCTCAATCACACATAATTCATACCCAAAAATGCGATCAACCAAAAAATTCTCCACTCATAGTGCTCTCACTCTACTTGCCACCGACCGAAGAACCTAAAAAACATTTAAGACGAGTGGTACCATATCTCTTTTGAGCAGATCGCATCTACTATGCACATATATAAAGCAATATAGAAACTCAAATATAATATACGTATTGAATCAAATATGAGTTGTTTCGTTCAACAGAGCTTTATACAAATTAGAAATACTCATTCGATTTGTTATCACAAATCAAACATTAATGATCAAATCCATTGATCAATTTCTATCAAATCACACATCAATGGTCCATTCCATTAACCAATCATTGCTTAGTCTCTACCATGATCGGAACATAACGCCTAGTGACAGGTGACCAAGATCCCCCTTAGCAAAGCTCCTACCTATTGTTAACCGATGGCTCAGTCCAGAAGGATATCCTTAAACCAGTATGCATACATGAAAACCCTTAATTGTATTCACAACGATAATGAGCATCAAACTATCATGTTTGAGTAACCTATAAAACTAATATGAAATCCATATCATATATCGTAATACATTTTACAAACCAAAGCAGATAAATTTTCGTAATTCAATTCATCAGTCGGAATACCTTTCATAAAGCATTTCTCAAATCATTTCAAAATTCCTTTCATAAACTAGATTCGCAAAACAGTACATCTAACCTTTCACAATACCTTTCATAACACATTTCTCAAACCATTTACAAAAGAGTATTAAATTCCCGATCTAGATTTTCTGCAATAATAATTCCATTTCATAACTCATAACATATCCAATTAATACCATTTTTGAAATATTAGTTTACAAACTCGAAGATGAAATAAGTAATACTTACATGAGAAAGCCTAAAACCAAACACCGAAGATTATTCAAGCTAATGAATTTGCAATCCCACCAAATAATCAAGAAACAATATCAAAATCAAGTAAAACACTACATCAACTAAGAATCGACTAACTAAGATTTATTGCCAACCAAGCGACCTTTATGCACCGACAAACGCTTGCTCAAAGCAGATATTCAAAGCTATCCGCTACGCGGAACTTGAGTGTGGAACTTTAAAAATTTGCTCCAACTATACTGTAACTCCAAATCAATTTCCGTCAAACCTCATAGCTCCACAATGCCCTAAATTATCATTTCCATATAATCACACAGCTTAACAATTCATTAATTGGACCCCGAGGTTCAAAATTTACATAGCTCTAAATTTATGTCTTAATTTTGAAAATTACTCTAGTTAGATGAATAAGGGACTTGAATCCTTACTGGGTGTTGCAAAATAAAGTTAATCTTGCTTAGCGGAGTTTCCAAGGCATGTAAGCATGAACTTTTTTTTTCTTCTTTCTTTCCATTACTCTGTTTCTATCTTACGAAGTCCGTCTCTATCTCCTCTTTCGCCTCATTTATCATTCCATTTTGTTGTTTTATTTTATTTCATTACTCTGGACTTTCTTTTATTTATTTATTTTTTTAAACGCCCATTTGTTACATTCCTCTCTCTTTAAAAAAATTTCATCTTCGAAATATGTTGTTACCTCAACTTTCAAATAAATATAAAACATTATGCCCTGCCTCCTCCTCAACCTACCTCGTGGCCTTTCTCTTAGTGTTTTTGACATGTCCTCCAGTGAAAGACCAAATCGATATAATAAGAAGTGCACAAACTTATTTTATCATCGATGATCAAAATCACCCATATAGTATTTTTACCACTGGATGTTCTCGATAGACCAATAATAAAAATCTATAGTTATATGCTCCACTTTTATTTAGGCATCTCAAGAGACTGCATTGTCCACTTTTTTTTTTGTGCTCAATTTTCACTTTCTAACAAATGAGACACGGATCGAGAAATTTTATGATTACTCTTTATATTGGTCCACCATAAGTTTTCTTTCGTATCATATGAACTTTGAATTATCGGGAACATATCACTAACTACGAAACCTCAAGGACCCATCCACATAAATACTATTTGTCCCTTAGCTTGCA